CTATAAATTATCAAAAACGTAATTTTGGTCATAAAAGGGCGTAGAAATATAAGTCTGTCGCTTCGCTCCAGACAAAAGGGTAGGTTCGACTCTTTCTGCCCGGACTCCGTAAATAGGAAATACATAATATAGGCCACCTGCTAAAAAGTCATCATTTTATACTTGCTTTCAAATAATGATTTTCTAGCAAATAACCCATACCGATATGATAATGATTGATAAAAAATCTCGAACCAATCAATTAATATCTCCTAATCATGAATTGAACAAACGACGCATTTGGACTTTGTCCGGGATAAGCTTGAAGTCGGTCCTAAAATGTCCAGATCCGGAAAGCTTATTAACAGCCCTAGAGAGGGGGTATACCCCAAAAAATTTAGGGCCCATTTTAAGCCCCAAAATCTACATTAAAAATGCATCTAAAAAATTTTTTTCTGATTTCATTAATACTGAAACCTTCATTATCGCTACATTCAATATTCGATTTTTATCATATTTGATTCATGATGGTAAGCTTTTTATTCAATTAAATTAAGTAAAATCATTTGCAATGATGGAGCATTAAAAACAATGCTCACTTCAAGACGGATATGAAAAGAGCGCAATCCAAAAGTATTTTATGATTCAAATGTGGTGTTCTGAGGCAACAAAACGTAAAGAATGTTACTTTTTTTTAAGTCTTTAGGCGTAAACTAATAATTCATTTAATTTCATATAAAATAGAAAATTAGTTAATTGATGGTTACACGGCTTATAAAGAACAATTATTTTCCATCTATTTAAATTTCTTTAACAATCACAATAACTCAATAATAGCTAACGCTCTATTTTATAATATTAAATTCAAAGTTTATAATTTATGGAATCTTCAAGTTAATAATGAAAAGCATTAGTCGAATAACGTTGGATGAACGAGGATAACAGTTCACTTTGTCACAAATATACGATTTGTAAATAAAAAAAAATAGATAATATTTATTTTATACAAATAATTATAGCAAATAACATGGACAGACATTTTCTTTACTTATTTAAATCATTATTTATATTTTAATAATTATTCTTAAAGATAACTATTCTTTAAAATTATTCTTTAAAATAATTATTAAGATAGTTATTCTTTAAGTAATGATCGTGAAATGCTGACTATTTATAAAATTTTGATTAATAAACTCTGTCAGAAAAGAAAAAATTAATTTGACAATATAACACAAAAATGCATACGTGTAGGCAGTACACGAAGGTCCAGAAGTTGTATTCGCAAAACTTCTAGCCAAGAAGGTAGCAGGAAGCGTTACAACCGAAGGACAGTATATCAGAACATCCGCGCTTGCGGAATTTTGTGTCATTTTAGCACCACCATTCCACAAAACAGCCACCAATCCTTTATGAGGTCCGCTATCCATGAAAAGTTCAAAATCCGTGACAGAATCGACTTGCGATCCAGATTGTATCGACCATTTACATGTAGTGGTAGTACCGTTTTTTATGGTGATTGGGTCTGTGGTGGAAGAGCCGTTTGCCGGTGGATATACAAAACTAAATCCTTGATAGAATAGCGATTGAATAAAGATAGATTGCGAAAGAAAAAAATATTGTTTAAGAGAAAAGAGTTAAATTCTAGTTACCTCCACAAATTTTTTGAATAGCTGAACTGGCATCATCACGCCTTATCAGTCCTGTAAAAACAATATTTTATGAAATATTGATGTCTAATCGTAATTGTCAATAAAAGCTTTTCAGTTTTTGAATACCTTCACTATTGGGTATAGCAATAGTATCCACTCCACAAAAAGTATGCGTTAAAGATATTAGAAATAAAATAATAAAAACGGATTTGACGTTCAAAAACATCATTTTTTTACTTGCAGAAAAATAATATTTAATACTAAATAAAGACTATATATGTTTTAAAACAACGGTCAATAAAAATGAAGATGTTCGAATGAAGGATATATCCATTTTATTATTTTCAGTTGAAATAAAAATTTGCGCATTATTCTGATTTTTTGACATAGAACTTTATTATCATGATCCGATGATCTCGTACTTTAATAAAAAGCTTTGCACTGCCCAGCTCGGATAATTATCCATATGGATATATATTAGAAGAATAATACGTTGTTTTTTAAGCTGATGAACGAAGATGAACGAAGAGTCAAGACTCATTCGAACAACGTTTAAGCCTCGTGAATTATTTAATGTCCGATCCGCAAAGTTCTTAGCCTGTGATAGATATTAAAAAAAAGGTCGTATTTAAGATTTCAATGCTGCAACTAAAGAAACGCGTAGAATTTTCAGGAAGTATCAAGAAACATAAATAAATGTGGAAATTTATGTGGCAATTAGATATTTAAAAAATATATACATATTTAGGAGGATGCCCAAAATTAGTTCATTTACCCCTTCTCATCTGTAATAACTGGTTGGAATAATAATAATTAAAATTTCACCAACCTTTTATAGGAGCAAATGATACAAAGATCTAATCTAATCGAAAGAGCAAGCCACGTGTATGTAAGGCTATGCAATAAAATACTAGAAGAGGCTTTGTAGTTAACCACAATCGCCGATTGATCGAGGCTTAACGAGAAACCGCCGTCTTCCGTGAGGCTTAGATTTTGTCATTAAACTGTTTAAATTATTTATCTGACGTAATTAGAAAACAATTAATAACTTTCAATTTGGCCTTGCACTATTCGTTAATCAGTAACGAACGATAAATTTTCCTATTGTTACCATTAAATGGGAGAGGATAATGCACCAATAGTTAACTTGAATTAGTCATTTAATAGATCATTTTGATTAACTATCCAACATACCCTATAAAAATTCACCTTCACGTGAGTTACGCTTAATTAAAAAGACGAATTTTTTTTTATACGATTACAATTACACTATTATTATTTTTTATTTATTCACTTTATTTATAATAATTTTTGTTTGCGGTAATTCTTTCTGACATAAAACTTTTTTCTTGAAATTTGTTCGTTAAGGTTGATACATATATAATATTGCTAACGCGTCCCAATATACAGTATATGTACAGTACATATGTTGTAAGTGGGAATGGGAATCCACTTAGATTAGAACGGAATAATTATACTAAAAATCCCAACCATAACCTTAAAAATTCCGAATCAACTTAAATTCTGTTCTCATATATACTATGAAATTTAATCCGGAATAACATGCACTGGGTAAAAACTATGTTTAATCTGGAGTAGTAACTCTGGCGTGGTTTTGTTTTAATAGTTACTCCGCAGAGTTAGTTTTAAACAACCTGCCATCCAAAAAATTACAGATCATGTTTTTATTTATGTAAAAGAGACCGAAGTAATATTTTGCAGTGTACCCTGCAATAGTTCCTCACCTCAAACCCAGCATTACAAGCGTTGATATTTAGCCAAAAATTCGGTAAGATAGGCAAACATTTTCCTGTTTTTGTTTTACAGCCAGAACGTATTATGAATTCGGCTAAACATTGCAACAACTATATTTCTTCATAATTCATAAGGACAATGTCGATTAATCATTCGAATCACATGATCTGTAAATTTTCGGGCGGCGATTTAACCCCGGTTTAAATAGGTTCACACTAAAGTAAACTTAGCCCAGGAATCATTTCGGTCTAAATTTTTGATCGAGAATTTGCCGTGACAAAATTGGTGCTAGGTGGGCATGCCTACCTAAAAAAATAAAAGCCATATTTGCGATAAGTTTAATGAACTAGAAGTTCAAATTTTATTTGGAAGAGTCTAGAAGTCAGGTATAATATCGTCGTGAGCATTGATAATAATCCTACACCATCATAAATAACGACTTTTATGCATTAATGCATTGAAAAGAACTATGAAATATCGTACGTACAGAAATGCAAACTAAACGCGTATATTGCATCTGTATCAGGTTGGTGCGCCACAATGGTTAGATGGTATTAGCGCAAGATAAAAGTAACGATATAAAGGATAAATTCTAGTATTACATAAAAACATTTTAGCTTAGTAAAATTCTTTATAATTTTTTTTTATAAAATGCATTCGCACTTTTGTTGTGATCTGTTTGAGAAGAATTTTGTTACAGCTGTCCGTTAGCGATAAAAAAGAATAGTATCTTCACAGTCTTAGAGCATTTAACACTAGCAAGAATATTGAAATGAAACAGGTAATGGTAACGTTAAATCCAGATGCTAGATATTATGTAATATTACTGTATTATACAGTATTATTAAACCTTAATAAATTTACCTACCTCAATCAGATTAGGGTGGTTGGCGTAAGGTAGATGGCGTCGCCAACGGCGCATCAGAAATCGGGCGTCCCAGGGCATGCCAATTAAATATGGCGCGAAGGTGGCGAGCCAATATTCACAATAAACTTAGTTCCTCAAATTTTAATAATTTTTCCGGCACAAAAAAAGTGAGTCATCCGTGATCAAGTTCACTGTTGATCTGACCCAGGTTACCTACAGTCAATGAACATAAAATACGAGCAAGGACATCAGAAAATTGTTTTCTTTTACTGTAGAATTGACATATGGTTCACTCGGCGGGTGATCCGGATGGAGATTTTTGTAGAAGGGTCGGAGCATCATATAAAAGGTGCACCATATAGCATGCCATGTGCCAAAATATTAATGGCATGCCGTTGGCGTGCCATTTAAAAAAACATTTGCGCTAACCACCCTATTCTAGATGCCATGATATTGATGCTATAATTACAGAATTAGCACATTTAATAAACGTGATGATGGCTGATCTCGAAATACGTATTACTCACCAGCATGTGACCTAGGCTTCCGGCATAGGATGCAACAATGGTTCGAATATGATGCTAAATAAAGAATCATAAGAAATAGAGAAAAAAATCGGTTCAAATATGATGAATTAATAAAAGATAAATAGGTTAGGGTAGCGACAAATATTACGTAGCCTTTTTTTTACTATACCTCCTTCCCCCCTCCCTCCCATATAAGAGAAATTTGATTGGCTAATTTTAAACATATATCTATAAGATATCAGAGACTCTCTCCTTACGTAATATCGTCACTACCTCATTCAAATACTTTGAATAATAATATAAATGATCCTTATACTGTATTCACAAATCAATTCGAGACTTAATGATGAGTGACCCATCGACTAAATCAACACAAAAAAGAATTAATAAGTAAAATAGCTTATTTCAACAAAACCAATAAATTATCGTTAAATTCACCAGCCAAGTCAAATAAGAAGAGACATAATAAAAATGCAAAGCGAAAACCTGTAATTTCAATTTTTGCCGGCATCCGATTCCTGAAATTTAAATTAACACACTACTATCAATAGTCTCAAAAATAATCAAATTCTCTTTATTGAACAAATTTTAACTTCTTAAGCACAACATATATTATATGACGTGTTAAATCACATTTTTCGAGGGTTTGATCTGTAAATTATTTTCGGCTCAAATCAGCATGAATAGAAGAATTAAAAAGCGAATACTGTAAATTATTCAAATACTTCGACTAGTAAATTATTGTTATACACAACTAGAAGAAGTATATTTACCAGCCAAATAAGCCAGGACTTAATGAAAAGTGGCTCATTAATTAAAGCATAATAAGAGTTAATAAGAGGTAAACAACTTTAATTAATAAATGATCATTATATTCACAATCTAAATAAACTAACAATTGAATGTAACCACTGACTAAATTAATGAAAGATGAATAATATTTCTATATATATCTATTAATTAGTAATTGTTATAGTCATCAGGCTTAACGCTAATGATAACGATAAGACTAAATTAGTCTATGAATAATGATTAATAAGTAAATAGATATTTCAAATACATTGGTTAATTATATTCATTAGTTAAATCAATTTGAATGAGAAAAGTGACCCATGGACTAATCAGAATTAATGGGAGGTAAATAGATTACTTCAGTTTTTCAATTAATAAGTGATTGTTATATTCACTGCGGCTAAATCAAACTTGAATAAGAAGGAATTAAAAGTGATCCGTTGACAAATTAACATGAATAATAAGAATAAATAGATTATTCTAAATACTTCGATTAATAAATGACCTTTACACTTACCAGTTAAATAAACTTGAATAAGAGACTAAATAAAAAGTGTAAGGTAAATAAAACTCATCAAATCAATTTGAATAAGAGACTTAATAAGAAGTGATCCATAGACTAGGCCAGTACGAATAAGAAGAGTTGAATAGCTTATTTCAATACTTCGATTAATAAGTGATTGTTATATTTACCAGTCAAATTAATTTGACATTGAAGACTTTATATAATCGTTTAAATTTTGGTTGGATCACTCAATAATCAAAGAAGATGGCCAATGTACACAGCCTACATTCTCAATTGTTAGTTTATTTAGATTGTGAATATAATGATCATTTA